CCTTCTTCGCAATCTTGTGTATATGCCTTTTGAAATACGCTCCAGGCGCCGATGTCAGTCACCCTTCACCTGGAAGCAGAGCTCCATCGTTTGCTTCTCTAGTGTCTTCCCGAGACCCATACTGCTGTAAGAGAAATCGCATTCACAACGAACGTAGTCTGACTTTTATATACCATAATTTAGCCCTATATTCAGGCCAGATCAAGATGCAGCCTTCGCGGCAAGAAGTCATTGACCCGAACTCTCTAAGTGATATGATGAAGGTACGACAAAGTCAACAGTTTATCTACTCTCACCAAATGTTTTCTGCAGAATGCAATCGACCTTTTCAACAAGATTAACGCTCCACATCCATTGCAAAGGATATTCTTTTTCCGAGATGGTGTTTCTGAAGGGGAGTTTGAAACTATTCGAAAGCACGAGCTCGATGTACTCAAGAGTCAGTCAAAGCCTTCTCTGAGTTGGAGACTTACTGAATCATCCTGTCCAGAGTTATTGTGGGACTTGTATAAAGACAAAATGCCAAGTATCACTTTCATGGTTGTTGGAAAACGACATCATTTCAGATTTTTCCCGAGATCCTCCAGAGACGCAGATTCATCTGGAAATTGCCCTTCCGGGTTTGTTGTCGATCAAGGTAGAAAATAACTGTGATGTCGAGGCTTCATGATACTAATTCGGAATTAGGCATTGAACATCCAGTTTATTCGGACTTTTACCTTCAGTCACAGGCTGGCCTCAAGGGCAGTAAGTATCGTTGATTTTATTTTATTTTTCACCATGTTGATAGCGATTCCTGCAGCAAGTATCCCAGCACATTACACAGTGATCGAAGATAAAAACTGTGGAGGAAGTGGGGACTGGTAAGTCGTTCTCTACCATTCAACGTGCCTCTCTCAATCCACTGTATTAGGTTACAAGCTATAGCGTACGCAAGCCGGTGTTTTTACGCTTCGTTTTTGCTCACCGCGATTTAGATATACTCTCTGCCATACCTACCAACGCTCTACTGTTCGTCTACATCCTTTGCACTTAATGCTTACGGCTGATCTCTGTTCTCTCAGTGCTCGGTGAAAATTCCTGCGCCAGTCTACTGTAAGTGATTATATGTAATAGCTATTGCCCTGACTCGACTTTGATACTTGTTTTAGATGCGGATGTATGTGTACTTTCGGCTTAGCGTTGGATGTTTTTGGATGTTTTTACTCATTAAGCGCGCTTTTCAGCTTGTTTGCCAGCGTGCCAGATTTCACTTTCCATCGAAATTTTCGAATCAAATAGAAGACTTGTCGGATGCCGCTAGTGACGACGTTCCCATGAACTTGGCACAAGACTTCCATGAGCGACATGACAGGTTGGAAAAAAACCATGCACTTCATGTAGGTTCTTGATATCTTATGATGTATCTTCGCTTGTATTTCGCTTGTATTTTATGCGGTATATTTGTATGTTTCTACTGTACTTGTACTCGAAGTTCTTGACTATGTATATGTATACATACCACGGTGATTATAATTCTAACCGGGATCCAGAGCGTTCAGATTCAGTCGCTTCTAGTTCCATACCCCAATCCAACAGCAGCGCTGTATCATGATCGATAGCCTTAAGCTCCTGGACCATGTTATTCCAAAATTCTGTCCTCGAGAGTAGCCCAGCCTGCTTGGACATCGTGTCCATCGACAGCAACTTCTTTCTTCTCTGGGGCGTGGTAGACTTGAGACCTTCCTGTGGTATTCCTTCGTAAAACAAGTGATGAAACCTGTTCATAACAGCGCAGCGGTGGTTAAAGTATAGATACTTTGTGCTCGGCCGCAATGGGTTGCCGTCGCGGAACTGGAGACGCTGCTGATCCAGCTCCCTGCCCAATCTGGTGTCTTCAGGCATCCCAGATATTCGTTCTCGTAAATCCAGGTGGTTGGGGTCCAGAACACGGAACTTGAACTCTTTGAGTTCTAATGCAGCCCATTTTTGCCTCTCCTCCAAAGTGGGATTTTCCGAGATATCTGGAACGATAGTGATGGCCCAATCGTTCATTGCTGATACGACGCCCGATGGTAGTAGCAGCGCGTTTCTCATCCCGTAAATACTGTGAAAGGGATGGTGCTGGCTTCCAAGCACCTTTTTCATAAGCGCATTGCCCAGCATCTCAGGTACTATATGTGTAACTGTCATCGCTGACCTACGCGACTCGGGCTCCCAAGTTCCATTGACTATGTTCCATATGCGCCCCTCAGATGGCGAGCTGCTACTGCTCTTGTCCCAGAGGCCATGGTCTTTTATTAGCTGGCGCCTGAATGTCTTTTTAATACCGTCCTTGTGCAGTACTTTGCGTCGCAGAAATTTCTCCATATGTTGTATCTGATTATGGAAGAATGCATTCAAAAGGCTTAGACGCAGGGTCCTCTGGTTCCAAGGAGATACGCCAGGCATGGGACGATTGCCTAGAGGACCGAGATGGGTGTAAAAACGATAAGCTGGCTGGTGAGCAACAGGGGATTACATAATGATACTATTTTCAGCGGAGCTGTCAGAACAATACTTTCACCTGAGTTACTTAAAACCATGAAAATGGGTTTCTTTGGATGGATGGCCACCAACTGCCATGACAAGCGAGTGGTATCAACTCAATTTACAAGAAAGGATTACCCATCTATCAACTGAAAGTAGTGTTCTGGATCCAAACACCCCCTGTACTGATTGCAATCGTCGGTGCAGACCGTACAAGCCCCAGTGTTCCGAATGCTTGATAGTCATAAGTACCTTTCTTTGGGGCCCATTCGCTTACCCTGGATCAGGTCCAGTACCCCATCCCAAATAGTACAACTAGTAGTACAAGGTCAATAAGTATACGTCACGTTTCATCTTACAGGACCCTCATGGAGTCCGCCCAGGTCCGCCCCCGTCACTACCTCACGCGTATCACATCTGCGGCGCACTTTGACCTACTCTGACCCGTCTCCTCTACACCCTTGGTGTTCCATGCTTGCCCTGCAAAGCCGGGTGCCACTTGCCGGGGCGGAGTCTGGCGGAGTGGTACTTAGCTGAAGAAGTGCCGTGCCTGCGCCAGAGGTATAGAGACACCGCATAAGTATACATACTTACACCACAGGGCTGCTCAATTCCACTCGCCGTGTCACTCACAAGAGCTCACAAGTCACTCACGAGTGAAATCAAACGCAAGCCGGTCGTGCCGTTTGATCTCAACAGGGTCTTGCGTCCGGTAGAACAGGGTAGAGGTCCGGTTGCTCACCTCAGAGCAGCCCACCCCCTTCCGTCGCCTCCCTAAAACAGCTCATTAATTATGTCAGGATCGGGCTGGGTCCGGGAGCCCTTGTTTCTCGTCATATCAGCTCACATTTGATTTCACTCGTGAGTGACAGGGCGAGTGGAATTGAGCAGCCCTCACGGTTTCGTTTGGAATCAAACTACACCCGCCTGCCTTAGTTTTAACCTGGATATTAATCTTTCATCACTGATCCTACTTATGAAGGACTTGGATCTTCAATGGAATCCGAAACGCGTCACGGAAATCTTGATAATCGTCCATCTGATTCAAACCAATCCTGATTGTATGAGGGGCTATGCAGGGTGCTTGTTACAGGAAAACCACACAGCCGGAGAAATTGAATCCGGAAATTTCAAACCTTTTTGTGCTTAAAAGCTGGATGGGCTCTTGGCTTTGCCATAAGCTGGTCTTCAACAACTAATCTCCCAACCCTTTGGCAACGGACGCAACCACCTCCTCACGTTCATCCCTGTTCATCCCCCCTACTACTTCATGAACCTGTGAGTAAAACTTATGCGTGGGGTTGTTCTACTCTAATTCTTACCCCAGATCTACCATGCATTTTTTTGGCACCTTTTTTGCTTTTGTTGCAATGCTCGTTTGCATGTCGACAGCAAGCCCAGTCCTCGCACCTACACACATGATTTATCCTCGGATGGCGATGGAGCCGATCGTAAATGCAGATAGCTTGACGGTTGGAACTTTTGTCATCGTTCCTCTTGGAGCAGCCAATGGTTTGGCGACAAAATTAGAAAGAAAGCAGATGTCTCATCCAGCAGTTATCCTTGACCCACCCTTTGAACAGGGTCCATACAAGGGTCTATATCCTATCGCCTACATCTCTCATGACCCGACTCATACTGCGATCGTCAGATTGACCCCGGAAATTCCGGGTGTTGGCGAACAGATTAACCTCAAGCCTGGCTGGAAGTCAAGGGCCGCGATGAGCAACATGTATAGGGCCAAAATGGTTGCGGCCAATGCAAAGGCAACACCAGCGCAAGTGGACGAAATGAGGGAAAGTCAGTGGCATGCCATGATTGTTTTCAAACTTTTACTGACCCCCAGCCTACAGTCTGGGCCATGAGGCCGCCACAGTGACACAGAGGAGATAGCCCAAACGAGGAAGGCCTTTTTCAACTCTGCCAGGATACATCAAACGGAAATCAAAGCGACAGAATAAAGGGTTGGTATCATGTCGAAACTTGTGCAAATATTTTGTGATACTGTAAGCTCCAAAGCGACTCAGTATAGGCTCATATAATGAGAAGGCCAGCCCTTTGTGCATATGAGAACATCATATTTCAGGTTTCCGGCCTTCATCACTGCGATTCAGTCTAGTATCGAGCCCTGGCTTTCAACCCGCCCCTCAGGCAACGCAATCTGTGATACCGGAGGGGGCAATGTCACTAAGTATCTCATGAAGGCCAGCCGCGGACCATGTGGTCCCCACATCGAAGTTTGTTCATGAGGTAAATTTCCATCGGAAGGAATTCATTACAGGGAGGGAAAGGGATTATCATAACCGAAGGAGAGGAGGGGTAGCTTTACTTGGTCAAGCACACCGCTTCTCCTCATGGGACCCCACTGTAGAGCGGATCTAAGTATTGTACTACTACTACGTCTGCTACTAGTACTACATATCTGAACTTAAAAGGTGAAAACACCTCCTGTGCGGTGCTGCAAAAAGTGAGAACAAGTTTTTTCCAGATAGTTCCAATGCGGGGAATCGAACCCCGGGCTGCTGTGTATCAGACTGAAAGACAGCAATGTTAGCCACTACACCACATTGGAATTCTTTAATTCCAATCTTGATTCGTTATGAGTATTATCCATGACTGACTTCGTCGTTTCAGGAACTCAACTGGCTGCTTCCCTTGAGGGACCACTTTCAGCTGGCAAATGCCGCTGACTGGACCATGTAATATCATATCATATCATATCTTCACGAAACTCGTAACTTTAATCGAGCATATCAACAACAACAGCTCTAAAACCAGGCCCACCAAACTGCCTGGTCATGTACTCCTGCTTCCGCTGGCCCATAGGCCAGTTCGCTGCGTTCACGAACACAGTAACCTCGTCACTATCAACTGCCTCAGGCAACTCAATATCTTGCGCTGCAAGTGTTGAATTTTGAACGTCCCTGATATTTCCTTTAGACCACGAGTGAATATGAGCACCGTGGGCTTCGTGAATGTGTCCAAAGAGATGGAGACGAGGTCGAAGTCGCGGTAAAGCATCAATAAGGGCGAGACAGCCAGGAAGGTCGCCTCGGACTGTTCGATCAAAGACACCACGAGGTGGACCATGAGTGAGTCTGAAAACCGCACGTGAAGATGATCGGAGAATGAGAAAGGATGAAGAGACGAACAGTATGTCGGATTTTGGGAATTTAGCCACCAGTGCTGTCGGATCATATTGAGGAGGACTTGGTTAAGAAGAAGGCGCACTCACCAGGTCCTTCAGCGGCGCTGTATCCAAAAGCCCAGTTTAGATACTCGGGTGACCACTGAGGAAATAGTGTTATCATTTACACGATCTTCGATAGGCGGAATCGAACGTACCGGGGATCCATAGACTGACCACGTTCTTCCCCCTTCTGTTGTCTGAAAAGAATGGAGTTCGTCTTGAAGATAAACGACATTAGCCTTTTGTGCTTTCTTCCCTTTCAACAATTCTACGATGGGACCAAGATCCTGAATGATTGAATGATTATAACTCCAACACATGAACATCCACGTTATACGTACATACCTGGGGCGCAGAATGGCCATATCCCGACCATCTAGCGTGGTTCTGCTTGTACCATTCGGCATGTAATGGCAAGTCATGGTTTCCAGCGATGATTCTGCGAGAGTATTAGCACTGAGGGAGGAAGACGATCGTCCGAGCAGACATTTTGAGTTTATGTGGTAGTCCGCAGATCCAGTCCATTGTTTGTTCGAATTCAGCAAGGGTACCAGTATTAGTAAGATCTCCGCTGTGCAAGAGAACGTCTCCATCTGGGACAGGAAAACGTCTGGAATGTGTGTCACTGACGCATACAAAACGCGTGTAGCCAGAGGAAACAGAGGGGACGTTTAGAGGGTCATCATATTCAAGATGTACGATTTCTCTGTCTTTAGCAGAGCGCAGAGTAACTTGAGGAGCATCCATGGGCGCTTGTGCACGTGGCTTGTGAGGAAATGACGATAATTGATTACATAACTTTAGATAAGATAGCAATACACCATTGTCCCATTGCAGCCATTGTCCCATTGTCCTCCAATGCCATTGTTGTACATGTTTGGCTTCTGGGTTATTTGTTTTCCATGCGCCATTGTTTGAGCCAGCATATGCTGAAACAGAACAGAAACGCACTGGTTTGTTGCAGGAATTTTGTTTTTGCCTTTTTGTTTCTGTTTGATACTGCTCCTTTTGGCCAGCTTTGCTGTGTTCGAGTCGGATTAAGCCTTCTTGGGGTCTGGTCTGTTACTCGTAGATGGAGATGGAGGTAGAATTTTGCTCTGATGTTTTGTATACATGTTATCTGTAGATACTTTCGATACGAGTTTTGCATTTGTATGAGCATCACCTGAGCCAACTAATGTAGCGCAGTCAATAGAAAGCCTGTTTACTTGCATATCACTGATTAGACTAGACCATTTAGAGCAACTACGAGCAACTCCGAATCGTGGGCTATCAGCTGCAGGGGAGTAAGTATAAGGCACTGGCACGGAAGCGGATCCGCCCATACCCGGGAACAATGAAATTGATCGAGCCCGAATTTGTATAAAGGTCGGATTTTTTCCGCAAAGTCTTTGCGCGCCCGTTCCCACTCGCTCCCCCTCGTTTTCATCTCTAGGCCGGTCCTACCCACAACTCCCTAGTTTCTCGCTTGATATCCACTTTCTTTTGAAATCCGCTCATCCTATATCTACGAGACGACATGTTCAACTACCAGTCAACCCTCTTTTATGCCCTCGTCGTGTGCATTTTCGGTTGGATTCAACCCGGACTAGGACAAGACATTAGTGGAATCGTGAGCTTGTCTCTTTCATATTTCTTCCCAAAGAAAACTCAACCTTTTCATTGTCAGGTCACGACATTGGACCAGAATCAGCTCATCCAGCCCATCGATAGTTCTTCCCTCAAATTTGCTCCCGGAAATGGTAATGCCGATATCTCCATCGACGAGACAACGGTTTATCAGCAAATAGAAGGATTTGGAGGCTCCATTAGTATGCCACAAGCCAACCATCATACGTCTTTTAACTAACTTGCCTCCAGCGGACTCTGCTGCTCTGGCTATGTACAATCTCAAGGTTCGCACTCATTTCCGAACGTGTCTACGCGTATTAAACTACTTCTGAATAGAATGCCAACTCCACAATGTACGACCAGTTCTTGCAGGCTGCCTTTACGCCCCAAGGCGCCGCGTTGAATTATCTACGCGTTCCCATTGGTTCTTCCGATTTCTCGTCCGATGGTGCGTCCTCACTGCTTTTTAAATTAACTCAAATACTGAATCGCGGTTATAGTTTACACTTTCGACGACAAACGCGGCGATACTTCCTTTACGTCCTTCAATATCAGTAAAGCTCCATCGTACCTCTTCTCCGTGCTGGCGGATATTAAGAAGGTCAACCCGAACGCGAAGGTCAGTTTAGCTTATTTCTAACTTTGGTTCAACACGCTCAACCTCTCATCAGATTCACATTCTTCCTTGGTCTCCGGTCAGTGCACCTGTAATTCAGTGTTTGTACACATGTCTGACGCGTCTTGCAGCCTGCTTGGATGAAAACAACTGATACTTTAAATGGAGGTTCCCTGAAAAGCGAAATGGTCAGCATATGTGAGTGTATTGTCACATATAGGTGTTTTTTTGAGCCACACTGATTTTCACGATAGATCATACGTACCTGTTAAAGGCTGTACAAGGATTCAACAACATGAGCCTTCCTGTTCATGCAATTTCGATCCAGGTTAGATTCGTTTGCTTTACCGTTTCTAGCATGTTTTAACATTATCTACAGAACGAGCCGGAAAACAGCAACCCTACCTATCCCAGTTGCAACATCCCCGCCGATCAACAGGCAACTATTGCTAAATCGTTACGCGCAGAGCTCAACAACAACAATCTTTCTAGCGTCAAGATCATTGGCTATGAGCATAATTGGGATGGTGCTGGGTCATACGCTGTGCCCATGGTTAGCGACTCCGATAACGATTCCTCGGACAACAACGACAACGACTCCGCGCAAACATTTGCAGGTGTCTCCTTCCACTGCTACGCTGGGGTCCCTGACGATACCACTCAATTCTCCTCTAAATTCCCGGCTGTACCAATGTATCAAACCGAATGCGCTGGTACTCCTGGATCAGATTGGGGGACTGATGTCCAGTGGTATGTCCAGAATCTGTGGACGACACCGAACACTGTGTCTGGCTTGATGTGGATCTTTGCTTCAGAAGACAACGGAAAAGCCCCGTACCCTGGCTCAGACAGTTGTGGGAATGGTTGTCGTGGAATGACAACCGTCACAACGAGCAGCATCACCCTCAATCAGGAGTACTATTCTATGGCGCACTATGCTCGGGCATTCACCTCGGACGACGGAAGCACCATTGGACAAAGGATTGCGGCTACTGGCGGATCAGGCCTTAACGTGGCTGCGTATGCTGTTGGAAACAAGTATTCACTCGTGGTGCTAAATCGTACGTTGCTACTGGACACTATTTTCCAATTGTTCTGACTTGTCCATCTTTTTCTAGCGGACTCCGAGGTCGAACAAACCATATCATTCCAAGGGAACCAGGTAAGCCTACTGTTCTCGTCCATTGTCCTGGAAGTCAACTCCTTTACTCTCTCTAGGTCAGCTATAAGTTCCCAACGGGATTAACGACGTTGTGGTGGACTGGATCCACCTCAACAACGACATCCTCGAAACGACGACTCCATAGAAAGAGAAGACCTTTTACCATATAATGAACATTATTGAAGACCTAACGAGTTATACAACATCTTAATGAGGTCCAGGAGATCATTATATTTATCATATATGTATATAGCGCTAGTCGCTAGGCGTATCAGTAGGAACAGGGCCCCAGAATGAAAACTTTTGATAGGTTTTCAAGTATAAAACTCCACTTGATCGATTTCCTTTGCCAGCTAGAAAAGCAACGACTAACAGATCAACTCTCTTCATCGTTGTCATTGTCGTCGTCATTATTGTCGTCCTCTTGTAATGTCATGAGATCATTCAGACTATACCAGAAGATCATTAACACCGGGCAAGAGTTGAAAAACGATATGCTTACCATCGTACAAATGGCCGCACAACTGTGCAAACTTCCCCCAATTTAGTTTTGAACTCGGGGTCAAGCACTTCAGAGTCTTTGAACCTATGGGGAGACACACTGTGAGACACGAAAACATTCTTCTGTGTCCGAGGTGAACTTACCGATGAATCACTGCCCAAGAGCGACATTTCAAAAGATCGATATCCCTGGGGAAAATCAGGATATCAAGATTGCCAAGCAGGCAAAAAGACCTACTTGTGGTCTTTGGCAAAACCTTTCGGGGCCACTTTCAACTCGTCTTCTCCACCAAATACGCTACTTCGTCCTCCGTTTTTATTCGGCTTGGGTTGACCAAACAGTTTGACGAATGCGGGTTCCGAGATTACTTGTCGCAGGCGGTCAGATGAGCGGGCAATGTTAGATCTTGGAATGCGCTCGTCAGTTGGGAACGAGACGCACAATATAATATTAACATGGCTCACCGGATGGTAGCTATCTCGTTTTTGCCT